CCTTCGAACACCAGACCGATAACTACTCCACCAAATGCTGACTGCTAGAAGACACGGGAGCCTTTGTTACAGGCATGTCATAGACTTAGCCCTGGGAGGTAAGTGGCCTTCTCCAGCCCTCCTGTTTTTCTGACAAGAAGTCTGCTATGAGATCTTCCCTATATTTTTAGCAGAGCGCTCGAACCTGCCAAGGTTATAAATAGCCGGGGGTGGGGGCTGGGGAGGTGTGGGGAGGATGGCAGTGCTAGCCTACCTTCCTGCATCTGTACACTCCGTACCGGATAGCAATAGCTCACCAAATTGGCCTCCACTACAAAGTCCAGATGTCAAGTCAGGTTTGCTGGCTTACAGCTCTGCACCCTTCCCCCTTCTTCCTCTTCTCCAGCCAGGTGACTGCTGAAGAGGCCCCAGCAGTGCCTACACACATCCAGCTGGCAAGAGTGTGAGGTAAAGGTCATTTCTTTTACCCTTCAGCTAGGAAGGGACAGTTCTGAGTTTCTTTTTCAGGTTTTCCATTAGTAGCAAGTTCTGCAAGGCCAGCCTCCTGCAGTCCCCATCTGGATCTTTCTCTACCACATCTGTAAAAGAAGCAGCAACTGTTAGTTGGAAAATGGGAAAAACTGCCCTTCACCTAACACTTCTCTACTGTTTCACTGACCATCACAAAACGGCACTAAATGCAACAACAAATACAACTAAGTCTGGGCTGGACGTCAGCACTTGCAGGAATTATGCTAGACCAGAAGGCAAAGATGCACAAACTTGATCACCTTAAGCAATATGAGTTCAGCTAAGCCCTGACTGTCACATCTGACAGTGCTCAGTTCATTCTTAGAGCAGAAACAAATAGTTGGGTTGAAACACTACAGAAACTGTCTGACCTTGCATTCCATGGGATAACCTCCATGCCAGAATTTGTACTTGTGCCCTTGAGCTATACATAACCTTTCTGCAGCCCATCCACCAGCACAAATGGGGTTTGCAATTAGAAATGCCCTTACTCAAAAGCCTGAAACCTCCATTCTGCCAGTTCCTGCAGTCTAAACAAATGCTCAGTGCTCCCTCCTAAAATCTGTGGTCATGCTGCCGCCCTTCAAATGGGGGAAAGAAAGATGCAGGCCTCAAGCTTCAACACATTCTCCGTTCTGATAGATTAGTCTTCTGATAAACTAGTAGTTCTTTCACGCTTTATGCAGCATGTAAGGGAGGGCATGAAGTTGCTTCCAGCAGCTGTTATTTCAGGGGCCCTTAATGGGCCTGCAAAGTAAAAACCAGGATGCATGCAGGATGTCTGAGCAGGGGGAGCCTGGAAGAGCAGAGAGTCTGTGTAAGGATATCCTGTACGCACAAGCAGTGTGCTCAGAGCCCAGTACTGCCGGCCCAAACACATGACTCATTCAGATGGAGTAGGGCTATTTATAAGCTCAGGGAGAGCTTCACGACAGTGTTTCCATACTCCCTCTACAGAAGACAAAAAGGGGGAGGCTACAAGACAGATTAGTACAAGCTCAAAAGCTAGGAGACTGATGTTGGCACTGTTTCTAATTGCCATGAGCATGGACCTTGAACTGCTGCCACTGACAGGGAGGCACAGGGCACCGGAGTATCATTCAGGTCCTTGCATAAAACAAACTTACCTATGACATAGCTCTACAGCACTTGCGAGGGGTGGGGAATTCCCTCAAAGGCAGCTGCTGAGGAATCAAAGGAACCGTTTCCTAGAAATGTTTAGGTATTCCCTCCCTCCCCTGGGAAAGGTTAGGCTACTCAATAGTAGGTCCAGCATGGCATTAAGGGCAATGACAGACCAGCACAAGGTGGATCCTAGCCTCTCTCCCCAGCCGAAACATCCCAAAGCACCCACTAAGTCAGTACCGTGACAGTGACTGAAGTAATTTCTTACGCTACGCTGTGAGCGCTTTCTAATGGGGAACAGTTCTAGTTACAGCCCAAAGGCTGAAGGGCAGGAACAGTCAGTCATATTCACACGTTGAACTACAGCAATCTGCACGGGATGCTATAGAATAACAAATGGGAGCAGATTTGTAGACTTCTACTAAATGCTTCGTGGATAACATTTTCTAGCCCACTGCTCCTCATTGTGCTTTAGCCAGAGCAGAGGAAACTCAGATGCTTTAAGCTGAAACCCAAAGTGGTGACTTCTCCTGGCCATTAGCACGGTAGAAGGCTTGCATGCTTGACAGCTTGTCAGTTTTCCAGCTACAGCAGCAGATCTAATACATGACACCTCTTGCAAATCCTGTCTGGAAGAGTCATGAGGCAACAGCAAGGCCACGAACTCAAAACCATGACTCAGTCACAAACGTAGGTCTCCAGTGACTGACTTCACCTGTTGGAACAGCAAGAAGGAGCCCAGTGCTTCCTTGTGACAGCTGTTTTACCAACAATCTTACAACAAAGAGCAAAGGCATAGCCCGAGAAGCTGTCGTGTTTCAGGAAGCAGCTCTAGAAGGATGCACAAGTTTTAAATTGCACTTAAATCATATCTGACCAGATATGGAGCTCAGGTGTACTCTTTAAGGTTTCTGAATGGCTCCTAGGACAATTTCCCCTTCTCTACTGTACACACAATTGTGATCTTATCCTGCTCTCATTCCCACCAGGATCTACCATGCAATTTTCATGCAAAAGCACTACATGTAAAGAGATGGCTATTACACTACCTACAGACATGAAAAGATGCTACTAGCTCTGTCATCATCCTCCTTCCAAAAATAACTCATTAAAACCTGATTATGCAGACCCTCATGCTGAAAATACACTTATAACATTCCTGGAAAGGCTTTACTTGGCAATAGCAGTGTTAACTGCAGCAACAAGCAGATTCCTCAGAGCACGCCATGTCATGGGAAAAGTAAAGTTCTTGGCCCCACGAGGCAGCTCTCTTCCTTTTAAAGGGCACAGAGCTCCACAACCTGCAAGGATCAGAGGCCGGCTGTGTCAGTGTCACTTCCTGCCTGCTCCCTGTGGGAAGCCAACTCACCAAGAGTGAGAATGGTGAAGGAAACCAACCCAGGGAGTCACATGAGGTCCACTCAGAATACAGTGGAGGCGTCAGAGCTCCAGAGAACTATTTCCTCTTGTACGCTGTGATACCTGACCACCAATTTGTGCAATTCCAGCCTACCAGAACCCACAAATGTAACTTGTGATGATGTAAGGCGTGTTGGGTGCAGCGTGCAACGTCATTTGCTGTCTTTCACAGGTTGTTCTTTCCATCAGCAAGAGGAAGTTAGGAGATGGGGCCATGTTCCTCTTCCTCCTACTTTTAGCACTGATGAAACCCATCTTCTGTGCACATGGTGTAAACGAGCCATACAAGGCTTGTGTGTTACTGCCTGAATGTAATATGCAACACAACAATACTTTCTGCACCTTCATGAGATGGGTGGTTGGATGCTTAGATAGAGAAAGGGGGCACATACCACGTTTTGGGATTTTTTTGGTTGGTCTGTAAGGTGAGGACAGTCACACTTTGAAATGCCATACACAGCTCCCAGCTTATGCTTTATATACCTTGGCAATACATCTGTACAGCACACAGTGTGGTCTGGTTATTTCCCCTAAACTTACAAGCAAGCAATAAATATTGCCTATCACACAAACCTCTGGTGCACGACACCAGGACATTACTGCTACCATCACAATTAAAGAGATGCTGCACAAAGACTGCACCACTGCCCAGAAAAACACCACCACATCTTACCTCCGAGCCAGGACTGAGTCTCCAAAAGCTCTTCTGTCATGTCTTCCAGAAGACGCTCCGTAGGGACACTGAGGAGCATGGAGGAGATACAGGACAAAAGACCTTGGCGCACATACCTGTTGGGGAAAGACTGAATTGGTTAGAGCCTGCAGCTTCATGCTCTACCTTGATTTCCTCACCTCAGGGGTTCTCCAGTTTCAAATGTCTGCAATGACTTTTGCCATATTCCTACTGGTTAGGAGGGTAACGATGTACCAGCTGGCAGAGCACTCACATACAGAGCACCTGCCATACTGTGGTGCAGGGAGTCTAGCATAATTCAGTCCTGGACAAGTCTGAGATCAAAACAGAAACTGGATGTTTACAGCGTTTTGGCTACATGTCCTAATTTCTTTCCAGGGTTGAATGCTGGAATTGAATTTAAAGTTTTCTGAGTTCCGTGAGTAAACATAGATGAATCTATCACATGGATAGAAGCATGACAAATTTCTCGATCAACTATAGGTAATGATTGTAACCTCCACACTGGAAGACACGAGCCAAGTTCATGTGTTGGTCTGACATTAAGGCAATGCCTTCATTCCACATTCTTGCAATGCTCAGTCATAAGAACACAAGGCTGGAGGAGAACATTAAGTCGCTGACATTCTCAGTCAGGTGCTAGTCTTGGACAAAGACAAACCATGGCTGGAGACTGGCTCACAGCTCATCTTTAAAAATGAAAGCATGCAAACTACAACTCACGAGTCAGTGTGGAAACGCAGAGCCCAAACAAACTCCAGCAGCACCTTTCCCATGGCAGTAACTGCCTGCAAAACAGGATTATGACAGAAACACTGAATACCTTCACATTCACACCACCCTACAGAACTGGACCTTGAGATAATGCTGTTGTAAACATCAGGTTTACAATTAACTTTATTTTACAGATGAGGAAACTTAGGCAGTAAAGTGAAATGATGCGCCCAGCTTCCCACAGAAGCTGATAATTTTTCTACCAGAAGAAGATAGCGGAGTATCTGAATCCCATGTCTACTTTCCAATCAGTTTTTCTCAGCCCTTTTCCAACTTCTCAGCACACGTGACTGACTTGCTGCCAGCATAAGCGTAGCAGGCCCCAGAGCACACTGCTATTTCAGAAGGCCACCTCTGAGTTTGCAGGCTGGAAGTCTCCTGCTATCTGCCAGCTCCAGCAGCCTTTCTTACCACAGTGTTGACAGCCAAGTACATCAGGACTGCTAAACTGTGGACCAGTCTTCCAAGGACAAAGTGATCTTCCCCCAGGAGATCAAAGGTTGTCAAAGGCCTGCAAGTGCAAGACACACAGTCTTATAGCAGTCAGAAGGCTGATCAGTGCATCTTTGGAACAGTTGGGGTGCTTACGCAGGGCAAACTGTTCTGCACAAGCCTGAACCCCTATGACAACAGTCATCATACAGCCATTCCCAGTTTGACGTAGGCCACAGCTCCCAGACCAGTAATATCCTCTACTCTTACAGCAGGCATCACTTACCTCCCAACAGGCTTTACTTAGAAGGAACTGCATGCAAAAGCTAGCACCACTGCCAAACTATTGAGCCTGGTATTACAGGAATCTTGATTCTCATGGAATCAATTACGCAGCCTTCCTTAGGCAAAGACTTAAGCGATTGACAATAAACTGTGTCATATAACGTGGTCACAAGGACCAATCTCTGTGACAGACCCAAACCCGAGACAGAGTTAACTTTGGTTGAAGACTGCAGTCCGAGTTCTGTGGCTTTGTGTGAACCTCCAAGGTGGAGGGTCAGCCAGACAACTGTTTGGTACTGCCAAAATCATCCACCTATGTACCCGCTCACAGGTTATTCTTCATAACGTATCTTCACTTCTGCAAGGTCTTACATAGCCCTGCCCAACACGACTTCGTAAGGTAAGTCCAAGAGACCACAAACCCCTCTCTAAGCTCTGTGCATGAGCCAGGCATCAGTGTGGTGTCACTGGACCCCACACAGCTTCTGAGCTTTAGCCTGCTGCTCTGAGGCATGCAGGACAAGCAGAAAGGTGGCGGCTACCATGCCTGCATCCCAAGGTGTCCACACTCACCTGTCAAAGTGCTGAATCAATGGAAAAAAGAAGTGTCCAGCAACAGAACTGAACTCATTTGGGCTGGAAACCAGTTCCACTTGAGATTGACCCTGTCCAAGAGAAAAACAAAGTCTAGACACAAGATGCATCCTCTGATTCTTCCACTTCACTGGACGCTGTCAAGACTACAGGGTTCCTTGCAGCCATTCCATGGTCAGCCACTGCTTGCTTGTACAAGTATGACTGCTAGTTTACAGACTGGATGGATCGATTCCCACTTCAGATCCTTTCACACATCTAAATATTTCAGTACAATATAGCTCAGTACTGCTGGGTTAGATATAAGAAACAAGAACATGCAAGGGATAAAGGAGTTTTGGAAAGCAAGTTCTCCAGGATGAACCACAGAGGAGTTCTGGGAACTAGGAAAATGGCATTAATTTATCTCCATGAAAAACAGGAAGGCTGAGACAGTCCAGACCAGAGGCAGCTAGTCTGATGGAGGCAGCTTTGGGATCTGTGAGGTGCAGTCACAGCTCCCTGCAGTGGCCAGACAAGCGTAGCGCAGCAACAACTACTCCCTCAATGGAGTTCAAGGTTTATTTTCCTCTCCCTACCAGGAGATGACTACAGGAGTTGGTACTCTGCACTGAAAGATTCAGCCAGGTACTAAGATAAATTTATATTTGAAGTTACAGTCTTTCCTTTGGATTGGGCCTAATTTCACAGGTATTTCACTCTTTTCGGATAGAGCTACAGCAACTCCTAGCATCCCTATTTTTGCTGGATTTGACATTAGTTTGTTTCTGTCCCAGCCTCACCGTAGCAAATCTCCGAGTCTTGCTTTTGATCCTCTCATCAACAATTCTTCTCCAGTCCTTAGAGCTGTCACTTCCAGGAAGGAGCTGGATACAAGGTTTTTGGGCACCAGAATGCTTGGTCTTCCCATGGGATTTGGGATAGGACAGTTCCTGAGCTGCCAAAACCAATACCTAGACAAAAAAGAGTGAGGTTCTGTTAAAAAGGAGTAATCCCTGCACTAGGGAACAACAACAGAGTTACCTGCACCCGAACTGATAGGAACAGCAAGGCAGAAAGGCACAACAGGTTTAGAATGAAGAACAGCAAGGTACCTGACCCCCAGACAGCCAATTCGCTCTGAGGTACTGAGCAAGCACTTGGTCACTTAGCTCTGAAACAGAGCAGTGGCTCCTTCTTCAGACCCAGTAAGCATAATGACGTAGAAGGAGTCACAGGCAGACTGCTGTGCAGAAAGTGCAGATATAACAGACTGATGACATGTTAGGAAACAATGGCTTCTCCAAGGCAAATGACTCATATTCTGTGGGGAAGGATCACTGTATAATTGGGGTGTAGCAGGGTTACAAACAAGAGGGGAATGCCAGGCACAAATACTAACGTAAGAGATTCCCACACCTCTGCCTCCTCCTATGAGGAATAAAAGGTAGGACCATTAGATCTCAGGGAAGTAGCACTGGTGCAACAAAGACATGAGGAAAGTGGAAAGTGAAGAGAAGAGCACTTACATCGAGAATGTCCATGCGCTGACGAAGACTGTAGTTCAGAGAGTAGAACTGGGAGGTCAAGTACTTTGCTACCTGTAAGAAAAATCAAGGCACGATGAACACAAACCCAGGCTGGAAACTGCCTTCCCACTAATTCTAAAAGCACTCCATTTCAAGAGAAGCGCTGCTTCCTCTTAGTTAACAATAAGCCCCCAAGAGAAGAGACACGCTGTCAAAAAGGGGAAATTCAGACACTTCCACTTCTAGATTATCCCAAAGGAAGTAAATGACAAACGGGACTTTGCCATTCTTCTCTCCCTTCTATGCAGAGGTGCCCAAACAACAGCCATTGCACCTTTGGCACTCTGAAAGAGACCTTACTGTGGCCTTTCAATACTTAAAGGAGGCTAATACGAAAGAGGGAGAGAGACTTTTTACCAGGGCCTGTACTGACAGGACAAGGGGTAAAGGTTTTAAACTGACAGAGGATAGATCTAGATTGGACATAAGGAAGAAATTCTTCCCTGTGAGGGTGGTGAGGCCCTGGCACAGGTTGCCCAGAGAAGCTGTGGCTGCCCCTGGCTCCCTGGCAGTGTTCAAGGCCAGGTTGGATGGGACTTTGGGCAACCTGGGCTAGTGGAGGGTGTCCCTGCCCATGGCAGGGGTGGGACTGGATGGGCTGTGAGGTCCCTTCCAACCCAAACCAGTCTATGATTACAGTCACCAGTCAAGTCTTGTTCCAGAGAAGCCCTTTGTGCCTCAGCTTCCCTCTATGTGAAACAATCTCCCCTTCAGTGCAACAAGTCCGTATCTAGTTTGCCTTGTTAGGTGTACTCATGCTAACAGTCTCCAAACAGTTCCTCCAGTCTGTTACAGCTCTGACAGTTTTCTCTTTGCTGTTGTTTCAGTCATCTTTTGCAGACTCTTCAGTACATACCCCATCTCTGCACAAACGCTGTCAAACATGAACTAGCTATTCTACCACACTCTGATAGCTGCTTCTATCAAGCTAGCAAGAGACTTCAGCTCCTTAAATTTCTTCCTGTGCCTCAACTGGAAAAAGGAAAGCAGCAAGAGGAACTCACAGGTATTGGATCTGTGGTTAAAACAGCTACTTGAGCTCTCTGACGGAGCTCCACAAAGCCTTCAATACAGGTCTTCTCCTCTAGATGCAATAATATTTTTGCCAGCTCCACACTAACCTGTTCAAAAAATGAAAAAAGGAATCAAATCCCTGCAGGTGTTTTTTTTTTTTCTCACAGAATTTACCCATTTCTAATGTTTAAGCAAAGACAATATGGAATATAGACAACATGCCCATTACTTAGGAGGGACAGAAAACACATTAAGTTAAATGCCACAAAGACAGATACCTCAAAACACTGAACAACCGCCTGTGCCAATTTCTCTGTCCACATTCACTTTGGCTTTTTGGACAAGTGGTGGCATCACAATATAGGAGGACTGATAATCCATAACTGATGGGCTCAAGGGTACAGCACCACACTCAAAGCCCATCCAGCTCAGCAACACCTTATGAGCAGCAGCAGATTGCGTGTTGTTTACCAGACTACACCACTTCCCCCTCTGAGCTGGCCTGTGTCTCTGCCACCTTCAAGTGTTCAGTAACAAGTGGAGGTGAGCACTCATCACACCAGTGACCTTGTCCCACGTTCCTCTCACCTGAGCATTTCATCTTGACCAGTACAATGCAGCTACTGCCTCTGGAAGACATTATGTTTGTACAAGCAAATAGGGAAAGTCCATTTGATTTTATACCCCTTTTTGTTGGGGAACCACAATTTAATTCAATTTCAGGTCAAAATCAATTAAACCCAAAATTAAAATGAACTGGTCTGTGGAATTCATGGCTGCTCTGTAAACTGCATTTCTAATGTTTTTTCCACCCAGCAGAAAGCACAGAGCTTCCTCTGCTTCCTCATGTTACCGGCAAGCTCTATCTGCAATGCATTTCATTTTCGGCGCTGGAGCTGCCAAATGGCATGCTGTTGTCAGCACCTTCGCCTGCTTCTCTGTTCCTTTGTGCTCTGTAGCCTTACCTCCAAAGCAACTATTTCCTTCTATTTCCCTTCCCAAGCTGAAAGCTTTAAATCCAGGTGCACAGGTACACCTTAGCCTGGCCTGCTGCTCTCTTGGCAAGTTTAGTCTCCTCGTGAGGGCAAGGAGATAATCCTGTATTGCAGCCCACTGGTAACTTAGCTCACACTACTTCACCTCTTTTGTTGCTGCTGGATTCTTTCGAACCAAGCCCTCAAGAGCCTTGACTGTAGCTTCCCACTTGTCCACATCTTCAGATCCTGTCAGGACTGAAGGTAATCAAAAGACAAACAAAAGCTATTAACAGAATGGTTGTGCTTGGGTATGTACCCCTAACTCTCTTCTGCCAATACTTTGTCTAGTTATAGACAGGTATCACTCACTGTGCAGGACCAGCATTTACGAACTAAACTGAAATTACTCAGAAATTACAGTTCAACAGTTGAGTCCAGATTACTGAAATCATACAGCTTCTTCAATTAACTCAGAAAAAAATAAACCTACACAGAGATCACTCTCCCAAAATCAGTAAGAAACAAACACTCAGCCCAAAATTTCCTACCTTCAATACAGTCTCGGATATACACAGGAGCCTTAGTCTTTAGTTCTTTATCCTCTGACATGTCATAAGGGATGAGGTCATCATCACTGTAAAAGAAATAAAGACAGGAGTTGGTCTATGAGGTACAGAAGTTCTTCCTTTCCCCAGCTATCCACACAAAAGGGAAAGAACTAGCACATACATTGCTGTAACACTGTCGCTCCTGCATCATCGAGCAGCACTGCTGAAGCCTAGCCTGAAAGGGTTCCTTAGGATGTGCTATGAATTACTCTGAAGCTCAGTGAAAGAGCAGTTCTGTGACCAGATCTGGAACCAGATCTCCTGGTCAAGTGCAGGAAGGAGTCAGATGACCAAGAGACTAGAAGCTGAATTCTCGAGATTTCTTTATATATTGGCAAAGTGACAGAATAGGGCAGGTCCACTATTAAAATGGGTAGATGTATCCATAGTCCAGGAAACATGTATGTAAGTTAAGTGGAACAAATACAGTGGTTGTATGTGACGGGGGCTTTGCTCAAATTATTAACACACTTGTGTGCAATTTCCTACACAAAGTCCCACTCTGCTGCATACCACTCAGCTGAACAAGGTCAGGAAGCACAAGATTTGCCAAGAAATACAGCTACTGATAGCTCCCTTCTCCCCACATCTGCTCTTAAGAACCTGCCATTTATTTTCCATTTCCTACCAACTTCTTGCCCCATACCTGTCCAGCTCAGCATCCGATTCCTCATCTGGTGTCACAGGGGCTGCTGTATGTGATTTCTTGTTACTTTCCAACACCAGTGGCACAGCGGCATCTGCTTTCTCATTCCTGCTGTGAGGAATAAGTAGTATTAAACCCAATAAAGTAATAGTCCTTACTCACAAGCAAGAAACTACCCAGACCATCAACCCTCACTGCCTAAACAGAATGGCAGGTAATTATTTCTGCCACAGCCTCCCACCCAGCTTGGCCGACAAAAGGAACAAAGTCCTGGGAAGGAGAATGGGGTGAGGGGAGAAGAGAAGCAGAATGTCTTAACAGAAGAGCAATGGATAATAAAAATTAAGCTAGCTAATTTGCTGTGTTCCCCCTGCACTAACTTGTACCTAGGACTGCTAAGGAAAGACTCATCTGTGATAACTGGATCACACTGGCCTGCACCGTGTTTGAAGCTGTGAATGAAACTGAAGAAACGGGGAAGAAACAGCTTTAACCATTGCTAGTGGGATGAATACAATAATGGAGAATTTTTTTTCTGTCTCTCTACCTATTTCTGTGGACTTTGGCATTGTCCTTTCCTCTCTCTGCCTCTCGAATGACTGTGTCTAGCAGCTGCCTAAGCTCCCCTAAAATGGGAGCAATAAATTTTCTGTATTTCACTGGAGCGCTGGACAGCTTCATTTGCTAATAACGTGAAGTGCCTCGTTCATCTGCTGATAAAACTAAGTGCTTCAAAGAGCAGTCTGTAGTCTGACAGGTACGTTAGATTTTTGTCACAGATGAATGGATTGGGAGCATATGGCCCAAATGCCAGATTTCCCAGATACGAAGAGAAAGGCCCATTTGATTCTACCCAGGGCCACATAAGACCCCTAGAAACTGCAGCATGGTTTCACCACGTGCAGCTATCAAACAATTTCAATACATACTACCATTTGGATTATGAATTTAACACAACTACACTGCATTGTAAGAATAAGGTGCATGATAATGCTTAAGAATATGTTAGACATCTTGAATACCGTGTACAGCTCTAGCGTGTAACTCAAAAACAGGTATGAAGAAGGGCAAAAGATGGCATGGAGATGAATAATAGCAGTATCTTACTCATCATCTGGAAGGCTGGGGACAACACAGAATGGCGGAGTCTGCACCAGAAGGGACTTCAATTCTCTTGCTTCATCATCTTCTTCATACTAGACATTCAGAATAACGGTTACTGCACTCTATTTGATTGCAAATATGCCCAGCATTCAACATTTGACCCTTCTGTTGTGAGCAAATGAAAATTGAACCACGAGCAAATGAACCCACACAAATCCCATTTGTTTCAATCACTGTGCTGCCAGCAGTAACGTATTTATGCTGCATAGAGGTATGTGCCATATTTAGTCTCTGTCCCTATATTTAACAGTAGTGCCTGATCACATAATTCTTATAAACTCTACTGGAAATAGCAGAGCATATACCCCCATGTCTATCTTGAAAATCTCAATTCAGAGCAGGTCTTCCCACTGTGTCAGGGACTGAGTGGTCACCACTGGTTTAGGTTTGAAGTTCCCTCTCAACTTCCATGGGTCAGATTCCAGTTCCCTCATGCAATATGATAATCCTCTAGCAGTCCTTTATTATCATCAGTTTACCCTGAGCTTTGTCATCAGGTTACACTCTCAAGGTCACTCTCAGCCACCTGGCTATTTCAGAATCATAGAATGGTTTGGGTTGGAAGGGACCTTAAAGATCATCTAGTTCCAACCCCCCTGCTACAGGGGGTTATATTTTGTATACAATTGTTGTTTGTAAACAGACATCCTCTCTTTTTGAAAGTGTTGCTGCCTCTCCTTATGTCCAGATAGTAAGTGTTAGAACTTGCTATAATGCCCTGGATCATCTGGCTTACAGCTTTTATCTCCTCTAAGCCCTACACACCAGGCATAAATTTCATTATAACCTTCACCTGAAACTTCAGGACAGGCCCATCAGTGTTTATTTTTGAACTAATGCTCTCTGCCACAATCATTCCCAGACGCCGTATTTGTGGCAGATTGCTGTCCAAGTGGCACTTCACGCCCTCCATCATGCTTGTGAGAAGCTCTGAAAAAAACCCAAAACCAAACAGTGCATGAAACCATGACAGAAACAAACCTCCACCTTTATGCCAGTTCCCTGAGAAGACATCATTAGCCACTCACCACCCAATAAAGGGTGGAAAGATAGGAAGGGCCCGTGCAACTGTGATTTCTCTTTCTGCAATGGCAGTATTCAGCATCATGTAATAAACCCATGCTTTTTCATGGGGTATAAAGTCAACAAAACATTAGAATATATTCTAAATTTGGAATATTTCTGTTTCCACTGAAATAAAAAAGAATAGTAAGTCAAGTCAATCTTTAGCTTGTTTTTAGAGTGCTTCAAAGCCACTGAAGTGAAACACCACATTTTGAGGAAGCTACAAATTCTGACCAGTACAACAATCACAGAGGGAAAAATTTCCCTCACCACCTAGATAAGATGAAACAGGCAGGTAACACCAGTATTTCTCAGCCCACAGAAAATGATGGTTGCCAGCTTTACCAGGCAGGCTTACTGCTGTTAGACTGACCTCCTTCAACTCAGAAAAGCTTATCTTTTCAACAGCTGTCAGATTAAAAAAACCCAGATTATAAAACTACAGTACTGTTTTTTACTAACAGGTTGCTTATTCACCTAACGAAGAATTAATTCTAGAACAAAACTGATGAAGTCAACCTTCTGCCCCCCACAAAAGCCACACACAGAGAAGTAACTCTAGACACTGGAGAGAAAAAAATTTGTATTTCAACAGAAACAGAAATTTTAGACCAGGACCCCAATGTGCTATGAACGCAAAACAGGAGGTCCTTGCCTGTAACTCACTAACCCGACTCACCTCGTACTGAGGGAAGTGGAATCCCAGACTGGTTTGGGTTGGAAGGGACCTCACAGCCCATCCAGTCCCACCCCCTGCCATGGGCAGGGACACCCTCCACTAGCCCAGCCTGCCCAA